TTATGAAGGTGCAATTCCATAATCAAATACTTGTTATTTGATATGAGTATATTATTCTTTAAAGAAATCATAAGTAATTTCTAAGAAATCATTATATAAACTAAGTGAAGATTCATTTAGTTTAATTTCATTCAATTTATCATGAAGTAAATTGATCAAGAATGTTGGTTATTTCAAATGTTTATTAAAGACATTAGAAATAAAAAGTAAATGATTAAAGTTAAGTTAATCAATGTGTCTTTAAACATTTCTTTCAAGAAAATTCAGAATCTTATCATTTCTTCTTTCTTAAGCAACTTTAGATGTTATGAAAGAACTTGAAAATAATTCATTACAAATTCTTGCTAACATTAATACTGAATTCCCATCTTATAATTATTTATCATGAGAAATGAAACTAGCAACACTAATATAATGATTAAATTAAAATACTCCAAAAATAAGGTTTAACTGAATTCATATAATGGAACTTTAGCAAGTTCATAACATTTTAATAGAACATATAATTATCCAATAGTTAATCTCTATCTTTTAGAATTCTTAAGTTTATTAAGGAAATTCTCAGTACATGGGACACCATGTAATAACATCATACTCATTATATCAATATTTGATGAAATAGAACCACTTTAGATTCCAGAATTGGCAAATCTAAAATTATATAATAAATTAATTACCTATTGACTGCATCTTATATTAAAGCTTCTGGTCTGATTTCACTTAAAAAAATTGTATATAATATATTCTTATAATCAACAATATTTGGTTGTATCATTTTGTGTGATTGAATTCCATAATATTTTTGAATAAAATTATTAGCTGTTTTACGATAATGAGTAAAATCATTCAATTTAATTGAATTTGTAATCATCAAATCATATAATTGTCCTATAATTTTAGCAATATTTAAAGGTTAAGATTACGATAGATAATCAAATTTATATAATACAATTCCAAATTCTTAAAAGAGTTCTTTAAATTTTTCATCTTGTTATTTAGATTTTTTATTATTTTAAGGTTCATAAAACAATTCAAATAAATTAGATGCAAAATTTACAAACAAACTATCTTAAAATGAATGAACATTCTTAATTAGATTGATTGCACCATCAAGAAATGAAATACTAGTTATACTTTAAGGTTAATTGAAATGAAATTTCAATAATTGTATTTATTCTGGTGAGAATACTTGAAATAACTTTAATCCAGACATAGATGCTTCTTATTCATTAATATGTATTTAATTACTTTATTATGAATACTCAATTAACTAAAATAGTAAAATAAAATATTACATGAGAGATATCATATAAAGATTTCTAATAATATTAGGATTGAATAGAATGTAAAGAGAAATTGTTTAATTCTTTAATAAAATCATTTCTATTAACTAAGAATTTCAATTTTTAAGTAATGACTGATTATGGTAATTTGATGTCATCCAACTAAAATTAACTTTATAATTTACTCTTGCTTCTTCTTTATATTAAGTATTAAACCATAGTAATGGTTTCTTCATTTATAAAGTTGGTCTAATAATGCATGGGATGGATTAGCAAAATGAATTCTAAACTTTGTTTCCTCTAAGCATATAACCTTAAATTAAATTTAATTCGAATAATTAATTTTGTTTAATAACTCTACAACATTTATAAATTTCATTTTATGACTTTATCAATCTTCTTTAATAATTTATTTTCTATATATTTTCTTAAAATCTCTAGCTATTATTATTTTCTTCATTTTGTTATTCTAATTTTCACTTTACTTAATAACATTAATTTATCTACAACTATACTTAATGTATATATATATATCATTAATATTAAATAAAAGAGTAAACCATTATTCTTATTATACTATAAATATATTTACTAATTATTCTTTAATTTTTTCCATCAAATAATTTAATTAATATAAATATGGATTAAGATTAAAGAGGCCTTTCACCATAATCTTCAAAATCATCATCACATTAGAATTAAGTATCAAGGTCTAAAGAATTTCAATTAGATTTCTTTATTTAAAAGAAGTTTACTTCTGATGATTTCAAATCAATTTTAGAGGAAACATAAGTAAATTATCAATTCTAAATAAGCAAAAATATTCAATTAAATCTATCTATGTTAGTCAGAAAAATGAAATACCAGAATTAGAAGGTTTAGCTTTTACAATTGATGATCCTGTAGAAAATAAAATGAATGCAAAATGTGATGCTGTTCTCCATATACTTCAATCTTTTTAAGAGAGATGCAAATAATAAATAAATATTATTCTCTTAATACCAGAAGGTATTTATATTGTAATTCTAGGAATTGTATCCTTTTTAATTGGCTCCAAAGGATCATAACTTGCTAAAATAATTGAAGAAACTAATGCTAAAATTACAGTCAATCAACCTATAGCTAATTACTCTCCTAGAACTGTTAAAATTGTAGGTGATTTAAACACAATCAATTGTGCTATTAGGGCTATTACAAAAAAAATGTAGGAGAGAGGAATATCATAAGAAGATTATAAAAAGGTACCTGAAGCTTTGAATCCATAAAAAGTTAACTCTAAAGTAAGAATCAATATAATAATATATAGGCAAAACTCATTTTTCAATCTTCAGCTGTTGATTATATTATGAAAAACAAAAATGAAGTTGAAAATAAATATCATGTCTAAATCAAAGCAAAAGATAGTAATGATATTAAACTTACTGTAATATTATTTTTATTATTATTTTTCTATAGCAAAAATGCAAACTTAAAAGAGATGATAAAATAGTTTAATTATAAGGTTCTTTATCCAATGTTTAAGATGCTTTGTCATCATTAATTAGAAGAGTCTCAGAACATTAAAAAAAATAAGAATTAGAAATCAAAATTGTTATGCCAGCTAGTTATGCTTCTAAATTAATAGGAGCAAGTATATTTATATATATCAATATTTTTAGAGGGTTGTTAAATTAGAGATTTAGCTACAAAATCAAAAGGAGCTTAAATTAAAGTCTTATCTGATAAGGATGAAACTGATCATGATTATAGTATATTATTCTTTTAAATATTATAGATTGTATTGTTTAAATAGCAGGAAATTTATAAAATAAATAAGATGCTAGTAAATTAATACTTTAACAAATTGAATGTTTCAAGAATGGAGGACCTGTATTATATTTGTATTATTTAAATAATAGATAATGGACAGTGGCAAATTTTTAAATGATGAAAATTAAATATCTCAATTATCTAATAATTATGATGATTTTAATAAAATTAAGAGGTTAACAATTTCACAAAACTTTTTAGATAAAAATCCAGTTCAATATCAGAAAGGAATTCACGTTCAAGATCATAATCTAGAAGAAAACACAAACATCAAAAAAAAAGATCTATAGAAAAAAGATCTGTATCATCCAGGTAATTCAAATTAAATTAATCCTTCTTTTTAGTTACTCTAAAAGAAGAGAAAGAGCAAATGTCTTATCTACAAAAATGATTATTTCTAATGAAGTGATGCATATTTTAGAAAGATATGATAAATTAAGAGAATATAAAGAGAGATTTAATGTAGACACATAAGCTGAAGACTCGGTACTAATCAAATCTAAAAAATTAGAGAAGAAATTCTGAATCTTACTTGAGATTAAAAGGCAAATTAAAAGATTGTTTAATTGTAATTGAAGAAATTTTGAATGAGCAACAAAAAATCCTAAGAAAATGAATATTAAATAAAACAAAATTTTAATAATAATAAAAATAACCTAAGAACTTCATAATAATTATTAATAAAAAGATTAATAATTAATAATAAAAGTCTTTATGTCATAACTCTTATATACCCATGTGATTTGATAAATTTATTATGTTACCAATTTATGAAAATTATTTCTCTAATTTTTGACACATCTTTACATCTCTCTCAAACATTAATTGTTAATCAAATTCATATCTTTTTTTATTTTTATTTTCATTTCATAATATATAACTTTAATAACTAAAAATAAAATGGTTTCATACTAAAATATCTAATAAAAATTGAATTTTTATTTAATTAATAATAATAATAAAGATTCTATAAAAAAAGATATTTATAAATCTTAAAACCATAAATATAAATGTAGGATTGAAATTAAATAAATTTTGATTTAGCTTAATGGTAGTTTTATTTAAATAATAACGATAGATATTTTCAATTATTTAATAGTATAAAAATTATATTAAATTAATTAATTAAAATCCAAAAAAATATTCTTCAATGAGCAATAGAGAAATATAATTAGTTGATTAACTGATAGAATATATGCTTTTTGTATGATTGTTTTAAATAGAGTATTCATATGAAAGTTAATTTATCAAATCATCCAACATAAAAATATATTACCATTAGAAAATTTATTCTTCCTACAACCATGAACAATATTTCTGCATTTTTAAAATAAAAATAAATTTAAACTAAAAGTAAATTTTTTATTCTTCATTAAGTAGTAGCATAATTGTTTTTCAGCAAAAATTTCAATAAAAATTTAATTAATATTATAATCTAAAATTTTATTCTTTATATGCCTAATATTTTTTTCCTCTATACATTTATTATATTTTCATTGATTTATAATAATGATAAATGTTTAGTAAATTAAATTACAAATAGCTAAATAAATTAATATAATTTATTTATATTAGTATTTGATATTTTACTTTAGATAATGAGTCTATCGTTATTCATTTCTATCTATTGATTAATCAATATTAAATATATGATAAGATTTTTTTAGAGAGATTATTAGATGTTAAAAGTCAAACTAAAATTAAAATTATATTATGATAAATAAAATTATGAATAATAAGAATTAATCATATAATCTTATATTATTAGAAGGTCATATTAAGATGAAATACAATTATCAATATTCTATTGTATTTTATTTTGATATATTTATTTTAGATTAACAAATTATTAAGATGATAATTTAAAAACTTAAAATATGACTTTGATTTGAGAGTAAAAATTAATAAATGAATAACTAGTTGTTTACCTATGGGAAAAATAGTATAAGAAAACATAACTTGGAGAAAAGAAAATTATAAACAATATTTTTTCCAAACAAATGGAATTTTCATTATTTTTTTAATTTGATGAAAGATTGTCAACAGTTTATTATAGCATGTGTATCTGAAATAGATCATTCTTGGATAATAAAATTATTAGTATTGTTAGCAAATGGAGGTAGAAAAATATATTTGATAATGGATTGTAAGGAAAATTAAAAAAATGATGAATAATTTTAAGCAGTTATTTGTGAATTGCTAATAGAGAGTTAATTTAGAATTAAAATTGTTGTTAACACTAAAAAATATGAAAACTTACCTACAAATTTTTGTGTAATAGATGGAAAAGTATTAATAACTACTTCTGCTAATTGGACTATCAATTCTTTCAATAAATCACATGAATGGATGATGCTTGACAAAAAATATGATAATATTGTAGAAATGATAGAAATATTTGAATAAATGTGGAACTAATTTAAGTTTGTTACATTTATTAATGAAGATATTGCTTTGTTGGATAATGAAGATTCACAATTTCAATCAGTATTTACATATTAATTAGATTGTATTGTTGATACATTATGATTTGTTATTAAAAATAATTATTGTAAATAATTGTTATTAATCAGGCAATTTATATAATCTGAATATATTAAATTATTCAAATCAAGATATGTATTATATATTATTCATACAATAAAACACTATATTAGTGGTTATATAAGTATAATCTATCAGAACTCTAATTCAATTAATTCTTTAGTTACATTTACTAAACAAGATTTAAAAGAGTGTAAATAAATTCTTAAGAATTATATTAGAAATTCTTATTATAAAAAATCAAAATCTATTTCCTTGGCTTTGTATATTTGGAATACTAAATCCAGATAAGTATTATAGCCAAATATTGGCATTGCACCATCGTTAGTAGTTAATATATTATTAAACATAAGAGTTAAATTAAGAAGAATTATTTTAACCATTTTCATTCTTCTAAACTTATTTAACATTTGAGAGGGTTTCTTCTTTAATATTTGTAACTGTTTCTTTTTAATCCTGTTCATTTTATTTCTTTATTTTTCTAATTCTGTTTTGTTTTTTTCCAACTCGACCTTCATGTTTATATAATGATAAAATGGCTTTGCCAGTTGAAAATTTAATTCCAAATTACTTGGCTGCTTACTTAATTGTACAGATTCCTTATTCTACTGTATTAATAAAGGCTAATCTTGTTTCATCTGAGATTTTTGAATACTTCATTAAATCTAATTTTTTCTTTTAATTTTCTTATCATACAAATCTAATTTAATTGATATAAAGGAATTAGGAATTATTATGAAAAAGATATTAAATTAAATTTAATTGAGATATTTAAAGGTTAAAATCATAGGATAGTGCGGCTTAATTAATTATATTAATATTCTTATTTTATTTTAAGCATGCTAGATATTAATGATTTAATTATTTCATAAGTAAAAATTGAATATGAAATAATTCAACATTAGAATGAAAATTGATGTTATGAAATTCAAACACTCAAAGAATCTTGTATAATACTCTTTTTTCATTAATTAATTTTCCCTGTAATAAGGATTAAAATATTAATTTCATTTTTTATTTTTCAGAATTTTTGGATTTCTCCCATGATGATCCTTATCTTTGTAATACAAAAATCAATAGATTCTATTAAAGAAGTAATAAATACAGCATTAACTCTTAATATAGAAAGAATTTATGTACACTGAGTATGATAAAATTAATATATAGATGATATAATTTTACAAAAATTATTATTAATTTTAATTTGATTCTCTTACTATCCCTTGGTGTTGATATATTTTCTTAATTGTTTTAAATTATTAGCATCAAATAATTAGATTAAATATCTTTCATTTGTTTATTTTCTTATAATATTTGTTTAGAGTAAATTAAATTTGCAAAAATTCCATATTATAAATTCTTAATATCTTAAATTTCTTTCATTTTTTAAATTCTAATAAAAAAGTTCTAATAAATAAGAATTGATGATTCCTATAATTATTTATTAGAATTCAACATATGATCATCTTGCAGGATCTAAATGTTAATAAATAAAAATTATTGAAAATTTTATTTATTAATCTTAATTTTGCTTTTTTACTTAAGATTTTAATTAGAATTTGAAATTAATGTAATTTGGTAATATAAAAATAATTTAAAATTTCATTAGCATTTTAGACAATTGACTGCTTGATTAGTATGGTAGATGAACCAAATAGATTTCCAAACACTTCATACAATATCGATAGCTAGCTACTGATATTCGAGGTGGATGCAATTTATAACCATGACATAGAGCACAAGGTTAAGCCTTATAACAACAAGCAAAAATGGGTATCGTATTACATGTTTATCTATATTCACAATCTTGATTATAGATGATATGAGTAAATTTATTCACATTTTCTTAAATTTTCTATTGAGATTCATCTAATTCCTAATCATGTAGTCAATATGTATGCTTATAATCAAAGTGATTCTTTATCCCAGGAACACTTGCAACTTTATCCAAAGATTAATTGACTATACTATTCATCATATATGAATTCTCTATTTACTATACTAGAAGAACTGTGTTAAGATGGGCTTTGAGAACTACGAAATGATTGTTTAGTCGAATCTCTACCACTTTATATCATAGATTCTTATTGAATTTCTGTTGTTTTTTTAGTATGGAAATTATCAATTTGTTTTTACTTATTACTTACTTAAGTTTTAGTAATCTTTTTCATACTCTACTTTAAATTTCGAATATATATAAATAAATAAATAAAAATTAATAATTTTATATATAATCAATAAGCAATACTTTATGTCTAAATCAATTATGCAAACAATTTAGCAGCTGATACATTCATCATGATAGTATTCTCATCATAATCATGATGACCCTCAACTTTTCCATATTATGCAATTTGGAAATCCTCTTCTAACCTTGATAATTTTGTTGCCTCTTCTACTTCCAAATGATTATTCCATATAAGTAATGCTAATATACATGATTTTAGATTTTCTATTTAGATATATAAATTCATACCAACTTTTGCATCTAAACTCACTAATTACCAATTATTTAATTCACTCACTATTGTTTCAATTCTAATTTAATCATATTATTTTAAAGGCTATACATTTAATCCAAAATTTGGTTTCAAATAAAATCCAAATTTTTCATTAAAGATTTTCAATTAGGGATCTAATTTCTCTTTTTAGATTTTATACAATTTAGTATCTGGATTCTCTCTAAATAACACTGTATCCCTTTCTAAATAACTAATAATTGATTATTCTATAGATTATCTAATTCGATCATCTGCCTCAATATCAATTGCATTTCTAGCTAAAGTTAATAAAGGCATAGTTGTTGGTCTTATATATTCATTTTACATATTAAATTCATGAGCAATAAATGATGCCAATTAAGGTGATGGCACAGCCAATGTATTTTTAGAAGGAGTTTTTACTATTTTTCCATCCAACTAATTTCATATTATTAATTAATATACTTTTACTATCCATTAATGATATGGATTTGTTGGATTTATAGCCATTTCAATTGTTGCCTCTTTATAAAATCTCTTTAATTATATTGGCTAATGACTTTAAACTTATTCAGAAAATCGAAATCTAATTATTAATCCTCTCATTAAATATTAATATTAAAATAAATTGTTAAATTGCTAAAATATAATTTTTATTTTTTGCTTAATAGAAAGTGTATAGATATAAATATACATATTTTATTTAATATACAAAACCATTTTAAGATATATAATTTATAAAAATAACATAAAAATATTATTTCAATACTTTTTACATCATTACCTCAATTAAATAATAATTTAGATATTATCATAACTTCTTCTACTATTAACTTAATAATCATTTAATAATGAACATTTATGTTATTTATAATCAGTTGATAATTTAACATAAATAAAAGATCAAGAAAAATTATAATTGATTTATAAACTCTTTTACTTGCTAAGACAATCCTAAGAGTATTAATATTTGTAGATATTTATATTTATATATGTTATGATTGTAATAATGCAATCATAAATCTTTTTTGGTTGTAATTGAATAATCAATTACAAATTTTCCAGGATGGTTCATTTGAACACCATTGTTCAGGAAATTATGTGTAAAACAACATAACTTCATTTTTGAATCTTAGGTATTCTTTGAAGTTATTGGCTTCTCCATTCAAAATGAAGAGAGAAGCTCTTTTATTCAAGAACCATACCATATATGATTAAAAGACACGTTTCCACAATTTTAATTCAGATGTGTCCTTTTAATCAATGATTAATTAATTTTTGAGGCTTCTAAATCCATTTATAGTATGTAAATTTTTCTGGTAATAATCTATAAAATGAGTGGTTTCTTTCTACAGTTCCATTTATAGAAATTCGAACTATTTTCCTCTTCTCATAGATTTAACAGCTTATCTTAATATGTTTCTACAGATGTTTTTTTTGTAGTCTCTTTGAGAGGGAGATGACTTTGATATTTAGATTAGATCTTCTTCCCAATTCAAAAACTTATCTGTATCCTGATGACTACCACCTGTGTCTTCATAAAAGATTAAAGCTGCTTAATTTACATCATGATAACTTGCCTCAAATTCTTGCATTTCAAAATAGTATGATGTCATCGTGACACCTGATTTTTTTTATTATTTTTAATATATACTTTTATTAACTCCATGATTAGAATAAATACTGAGATTTTATGTTTAAAATTTTATAAATAAATTCATTCGATTCTATTATTATTCCATATAAAATCTGGGTCTCTAGTAATATTATATCTAATATTCTTATTATTATTTCTATGTTAATTTAGTAATGGAGTAGGAGTAAATTATAAACTTAATGGTGTAGTTAACTCACTTAATTATAGTTCTTATATATTACCATTTTCAAATAATTCATCAAAAAGTAATTACATATTGTTTTCTAATATATTTATTTAATTATTTATACAAAACTAAGATTCCATCCCATTAACTATCTTAATTAAAAATTTTTAAAGATATTCAGCTTCTCTTGATATTAAAATACATTATAACATTGAATTCTAAGAAATTATCAATTATTAATACATTTAATGCACTAATTTATTAACTAGCAGTCGATTAAATCTATTTACATTCTTCTAATTTTTAACACATAGTAACTTAATTTTAGGAAATAAATCTTAGTTCTTTCATTAAATTAATAAACTCTATATCATCAATTGTATTTTGCTCTTGTGTTCTATTAGTTATCTTAGGTAAATCAAAATTAACAAATCCTTATGTAAATTAGAGATGTTAGTAAGTAATCTTAGAAGTCTAGTTAAATACTCGTTTAAAACCATAGATATTCAATTGTCTTAAATTAAAATAATAGATACTTTAAGAAACTCGATATTTTAGAATGTTTGTAATGTTATTTTAATATTTCACTAATGAATAATTATTTGTTGCAAATCATAAAAGCAGTTCCATTTTCAACCCATTTAATTATATTTGAATTATGTTAATTCTAACTAATCATTATTTTCATACCTCCAAAATTTCATATAGTTTTCTTATAAAAGTTGATTTATTCTTCTTTTCTTATTATTTTTTAATCATTTATAAATTATTATTATTATTAGCAGATTAGATGATATAGAATCAATACAGATGATTTTATTGGTAATACTATTTTAAGTTTATTAATTATAATAGAGAAATTATGAAAAAAACATATAAATAAGAGGAATTCTATCATAAATTAAGGGAGACTAAGCAAAATAATAAAGAAGAAATTGAAATTTTTAAAGATAAAAAGAAACTAAATTAATAATTGTAAAAAATTATTGATGAATTTTTGATAATTAAGATTGAATATAGTAGCATTAATATAATAATAGAATAAATTCTTATAAAATAAAAAAGAGGAAACAATGAATATGTAATCGTATTGAAATAAAAATTTTAAAGAACTTAGAAAAGAAAAACTACTAAAGAAATTAAATATGAAAAACTAAGAAATAGCTAAAAGAAACTGAATACTATTATTGNTATTCTTATTATTATTTCTATGTTAATTTAGTAATGGAGTAGGAGTAAATTATAAACTTAATGGTGTAGTTAACTCACTTAATTATAGTTCTTATATATTACCATTTTCAAATAATTCATCAAAAAGTAATTACATATTGTTTTCTAATATATTTATTTAATTATTTATACAAAACTAAGATTCCATCCCATTAACTATCTTAATTAAAAATTTTTAAAGATATTCAGCTTCTCTTGATATTAAAATACATTATAACATTGAATTCTAAGAAATTATCAATTATTAATACATTTAATGCACTAATTTATTAACTAGCAGTCGATTAAATCTATTTACATTCTTCTAATTTTTAACACATAGTAACTTAATTTTAGGAAATAAATCTTAGTTCTTTCATTAAATTAATAAACTCTATATCATCAATTGTATTTTGCTCTTGTGTTCTATTAGTTATCTTAGGTAAATCAAAATTAACAAATCCTTATGTAAATTAGAGATGTTAGTAAGTAATCTTAGAAGTCTAGTTAAATACTCGTTTAAAACCATAGATATTCAATTGTCTTAAATTAAAATAATAGATACTTTAAGAAACTCGATATTTTAGAATGTTTGTAATGTTATTTTAATATTTCACTAATGAATAATTATTTGTTGCAAATCATAAAAGCAGTTCCATTTTCAACCCATTTAATTATATTTGAATTATGTTAATTCTAACTAATCATTATTTTCATACCTCCAAAATTTCATATAGTTTTCTTATAAAAGTTGATTTATTCTTCTTTTCTTATTATTTTTTAATCATTTATAAATTATTATTATTATTAGCAGATTAGATGATATAGAATCAATACAGATGATTTTATTGGTAATACTATTTTAAGTTTATTAATTATAATAGAGAAATTATGAAAAAAACATATAAATAAGAGGAATTCTATCATAAATTAAGGGAGACTAAGCAAAATAATAAAGAAGAAATTGAAATTTTTAAAGATAAAAAGAAACTAAATTAATAATTGTAAAAAATTATTGATGAATTTTTGATAATTAAGATTGAATATAGTAGCATTAATATAATAATAGAATAAATTCTTATAAAATAAAAAAGAGGAAACAATGAATATGTAATCGTATTGAAATAAAAATTTTAAAGAACTTAGAAAAGAAAAACTACTAAAGAAATTAAATATGAAAAACTAAGAAATAGCTAAAAGAAACTGAATACTATTATTGTACAATATATAACCTTGCTCTTTTAAAAGAGATCTACTATAAAAAATATAGAAATCTTATCAATAATTAAACATTTAATACTTATCTTGATTATTATAGTTATTGATATGCAAAATTTAAGTATTACACATTCTAATATACAAAATCCTAAGATAAGACAATCCTTATGACTGTCATAACATGGAAGCAATGAACATGTACCATGAAGATAAGAATAAATTTGAAGAGTTTGCTAGAATTTAAACAAAGAAGCATGCTACATGAATAATCAAATAATTTTTTACATTGAATATTCTAAATAATTGTTATGAATTTTTATTCTATTATAATATATATATATATTTTTTAAGTATTAAATCATTTCATATAATAATGTAACAAAAATTAATTAAAGAACTTAAAGAGTTGACTATTGATAGCCCTTTACCTGGGGTTAAAATAACATCATATCCTGAAGCGAGATTAATGTAAATAATTATTATATAAATATAAGATGGACGGCAATAATGGAAGGACCAGAAGGCACACCTTATCAAGGAGGACATTTTGAAGTTTTAATCTGCTTTCCAGAGAATTATCCATTTAAACCTCCAAAATTTTATTTCTAAACTAAAATATTCCATCCAAATATTGGTGAAGATGGCCGGCTTTGTGCGTATTGTTTTTTACCCGATGTATTTTGATTCAATTAGAAAGTCTGATTGGTAACCAACAAATACGGTCAAATATGCATTGGAGAAAATCTTAAATCTCTTAAGAAACGTCAATTTTAATGACGATTTAAACAAAAAAGCAATGTAGATGTACCGTGAAGACAAGAATAAATTTGAAGAGTTTGCTAGATTTGAAACTATAATGTATGCTACATGAATAATCAAAAATGGTCAATTTAATTTGCTATAAAAATATTTTTAAGTTAATTTCTATATATATTAAAAAAAGAAATGAAAAGAACATTAACATTAACAATTATTCAATAAAATGAATATGATTAAGTGTAAGAATATTGATTTAATGATGACTTTTGCATGATTGATCAATTAATAATTATAAATCATGAGGAGGTATAGTTTCCTACTTAATGCTCGAGTTCTGCGACTTTTTGAGTAGCTGCAATTATTAATTGTTGAATTTGGCTTTTTTCCTTTTTGATTTCAGTTATTTGTGACTGTAATTTAGAGTTTTCATCTTTTTATGTATTGATGGCCTAAAAAAAGTTACATAGTTTTTTACTTATCTTAAGTCCCTTAACATAGCATCTAAAGTAGGTTAGGTTGTATTTTTGATTTCTTCATTGTTATTTGTGATTCTTTATTTCATTAAATGCAATTCCTATTTCAATTAGTCAATCTCATGTTTATAACTTTAGAGTAATTCATTCGATAATTCTGTGATATTCTATTAAAGTATGAAATTAAGAGTACATTCACTAAAAGTACATGATTTTTTGCATTAGTGGCTGATTCTTAATCAAGTTTGGAACTATGAGGTTATTGTACATCCTACATTTTTATTAAATAAAAATATATAAATATTATTTGTTTGACAAATTGAAAATGACAATTGATAATTTAATTTGAGAACATCTATTTTCCTATTATTTTCTATTAGGAAATAACAGATTGATACTCAAATGTTAGATATCCTTACCAACTCTTTCTATATTCAATTAAAAGTAAATAAAATAAAGAGAGACGAGTAATTAATAGAAGCGAATTTTCTATACATATAAAAACCGATTGATACACTTGTACTTATCTAATAGATTAAAATATATATCAATTAGGATGATTAAGAGAGTTCAAGATCACCTAATATTAATATATATAACCAAATAATATTATATAATCCCTAAGTTTAAGTATTGATATCTAACTCTGATTCATAAAATCTATTGAATTATAGATTAAATAATAGTATATTAACAATCTTAATTAATCATCAAAAATGTTAATGGATATATAAAAGCAAAATAGGAAAGTTTCTTAAATAATTATTAAGTCACAAAAAGTTCAGATGAAATTATTAAAAAGTATGATAAAAATTAAAGAATTTATCAAAGAAATTTATTTTGATAATCTTAATTGTTATTATAATTTCTTTTCATGTTAGAAGTTTAATAAATATTAGTTTTGCTTTATTCTAGAATTTTTACTATAAGTACTTTAATTAAATCAATTTTAAATAATTTTTATCATTTTAATTATTCTTTTTTTATTTATTTAAAGATTTAGGAGATACATGTTGATATAATAATTTAAATAAGATATGTAAATTAATTGATTTTATAGTCTTATTCAAACATAAATTAAGATAGAATTACTTTTCATATTATTTATAAAGTATTTAAAAATTGATTATCATTAATGTTAACATGATAACAGCAATTTACAAAGATTATATATGTATGAAATTTATAATCATTACAAATTTTAGTATATATATTATCTGGTAAGATTGTTAATTTTCTTAGTTAAATTCTTAGTTAAAGAAGTGAAGATAGAAATTATGAATCTTCAAATATTAATTTGTCTTCAGAATAAATAATTATTATTGAATTATATATGTGATATTTTAATAGATTTTAGAATCTTTAAATTTATGTTAAGATTTATGATTTCTTTCTAGATTTTAGGTGAAATAGATTTTAATGAGTTTAAGAATGAGGATTATTAATTTGGATGATCTAAATTTGATAAGAAAGTAATAGGATTAATATTTAATATTCAAGTTAGTCTTAATTAATATTTTTGTTCGTTAAAATAAATGTAGTCAATTATTAATTAATGCCAAGATTTAGATGAAGAGTACAGATAACTTGTTTAGACAATAAATAACATGTTGGACAATCTTAGTATTGTAAGTCTGGAATTTGTGAATTCAAAATTAGAATTTTTAGAGAAATATTCTTGTACTCTAAAATCAAGTTAAATTGATGCCAGAATACATAGAAATTCATAAATGAAGAACTTAATCGAATATATTAAGATGCATAGGAAATCAGAGGCTAAATCTCTTGCATAATCACCACCAGCAAAGATGGCTCATCATCGCCCTAAGTATTCATTTAATGAGAAGGCTTTTTCTTGTATGCTTTATAATAACATGAGTCAAATGACTCATCAAAAAACACAAAATAATGAACTTGACTAATCATAATAGAAATATACTCTCAAAAAAAAAAACTTAAACGTTTTATAAAATTTGATAGGGAAATAAAAGTTTGAATAGAGGAAGGGTAATGAAGACATGTTTAAGTTGCTCTAAAAATGCATGCAATTAATTTCATAGAAATAGGAATTTTAAGATGAATATGCAGATTTGTATAAAGAATATAGAGATATAGTTAAGAGCAACAAGAGTTTATAAAATAAAGTTAATCTTGATTTAAAATCATCAAAATTGAAAGAAAATTTAAATTAATTAATGGTAAGCTAAGAATCATTTAAATCCTACCTAAATTCAGTTATTTGATTTATTATTATATTCTATATCCTTTAATTATATTTTATCTCATTATAGTAATAATTGTGTTCTTTTTAATAATTCATTTTATACGACCTCTAAAGTTATATGAGCAATAATCAATACAATACTAAAAAATTGGCTCCATTTAAAAAATAAAGAGATATTCTCAAGGAAGAATTAAAAAAACTATAATAAGAATAATTAGATGAGGAAAAATTGAATGACTATTATTTTGATGAAATTGCTAGAGTAGAAAAAGTATTTAATGAAATATAATTTAGGAATATGAATCTTTAATTAAATCAATTGAAGCATATAACAAACATAATCATACATTAAAAACTATAGGCAAAACAGATGAAAATTAAGGTTTAGATGAAACAATAGAAAATAATGTCATTTAAACATTAAATCTATTTCTTCTTAATACTAGCAAAAAGGAGTATTTAGAAAGTATTTAAGAATAAGAAATATCAAAAAAATAATTACAAGTTGGAAATCTAATTATGACATAAAATTAGTTAAAAGATGAAAAATATATAGTATAGGAAGATGAAAAAGTTATTCTTGAAGATGGATATTATGTATCTTTAAAGTAAGGATAAAATTCTTTAGTTGTTAAAGTACCAGGAACAGTACGAACATTCAAAGAGTTAAAATAAATAGTTAAATCATGTTTTATGGCAGAGGAATAAGAAATATTTTATACAGATTTAATGGGAAATATCATTTAACCTGATATGAATATTTTGGACCAACTTTATCCGTCGATTTATGAGTTGCTTAAAAATTATCAACCTGTTATTGGTATTAAAATAATTAAATAAAAAAAAACTAAAGAAGACACAAAAAAAACTGAAGCTGATTTTGGGTTTGATGGAGGTATCTAAGAATTAATGGCTAAATAGTTAAGATCAATTAAAAGAATTGAAAAATCTATTAATTGGTCTAAATATATGGATTATATGACTAGTTTCAAATATTTTTTGGAATCTATTTTATTTGTATCACTTTTAATTTTATATGCAATCGTTGAAATTAATGAATTAGACTTTTTCACTAATTCTTAATTACTATTAAACTTAAACTTAAATATGGCAATCTAAAAATCCTACATATCTCCATTAACTAACATATCTTAAATTATATCCCAATCAATCCCTAATGGGTCAGCTAATAGTTTGAGTCCTACTTATCCTCTTCAATCAGGTTTACTTATCTAAACCCTTGTTGGTATAGTAAATATTTAATGTAAATTAGGATGACATCAACAATTGCGATATTTTTAATGAAAATCAAAAGCAAATTTATTTGGATAAAAATTAATCTTGTTTGATGTTTGACATAACATAAACAAATAATTTAGATAAAAATTACACTAAATTACATTTTGATCCTAAAGTCTATAATTAATAATTTGGAGGCTATGTTTGGGAATTCAATTTGAGCTCAAGACAATCATTTTAAGAAAGTTATGATTTAATGATTTCAGAAGAATGGTTATAATTTAATGTAAAGCAATCTCAATTCCTATTAAATTATTATAATAGTCCAACTTAAAGAATTATTTAAGTAAGTATCACTACTATTTATTTATTCAATGATGTATATATTTTGATGAAATTTAGCGTCTTTTGAATTACAATAGTTTTTCAGCTGAAAGTTTTAATTTAAGTGAAATACCAGAATAAGTTCTAGTAAATAAAGACATAATATTTTATTGTTCAATTATCCTATTGATTTCGTCGTTTTTTGGTAGAAAATAATTAAAAATAATATAGATTTTTTTGGCTTATATTTTGTAGGAACTAAAAATAATTTAATTGTGATTTACTTATAATATTAAGAATTAATGAATAGGAAGAAAAAAATGTTAGCTAGAAAAAGAGATTTAAGTGAAAGTGATTAAAAGGAAATATAATAGAAAGAATTGATAGTAGGAGAATATGTAATAATAAATTTAAAGGTTGTATATATTACAATTAGAATTCCTTTATTTTTTGATTATATTTGTAATTAAACTATTTATTTTAATTTTAGATATTTTATGTTAATTTGGAATGGTTATGAAGAATACAGTAGACATTTACTATGAAGAAGCATTAAAAGAAATAGATTTGAAATCAGATTAATATCAAGATGTAAATGCTTTGATTGTGCCATTGTTTGTTAGTAGAATGTTTTCAGCCGTTTTAGTGATATTTTTAATGATTTCAATAGTTAGATTTATGGGGAATTGGAGTCCATATTTAAAATGTTATGGATTAGTCATGATAAGAGTAATGTTAATTCTAGTTTACATAGTTTAACAGGGAATCTTGGTTTCTATTACTTGTTTTGATATTTATTATCAGTGTTTGTGCAATGTCATGGATTGTAACTATACAAGGCAAATTAGTAAATCATGACAATTTCTTTTATACCTTTTTAGGATTACTTAGATGTACTTTAAGGTTTGGATTAGATAATGATATTGAACAACAAGGATTCTATAATACTTATGCAAAAGATGTAATTTATTCTTTAGAAACAAAATATGTAAAAAGATTCTTTTAGAATATTAGTTACAATATATAATAATAATCACAATCACAATGATAATGATACCAATATTTATATCTCTAATGACTGATTTAGTTCAAAATACAAAAGTGGAAGCAAAATAGAAAATGATGGAAATGAGAAAGCAAAATAAAAAATGATTTTAGTATTATGATTATCAATTTATATTAATTTGATTTCTTTTTTTTAAAGAATATCAATTCAATTATAACTAAAATTTGATCAGTTCTATCTATGAAAAGGTTATTAATAATTATAAATATCGTTAATGAAAAATTATTTATTTCAACCAATGTAATCTAGTGGAAGAGGCAGCCTATAAGACAATCCATATTCTATGGATTTTAAACCAAAAAAGAATAATAATAAAATTATTAAGACTGAGAGCATCACTACAGCTGCCAAAAATCCAAAATAAGACCTATTAGAGTATTTTAAAAAAGAGAGAAATACTATTAATTAGGTAACAAATAATATCAAATCATAATTACAACAAAGTAGAAGCATTGACAATTTAAATAGTTAGAAAAGTGAACGTCAAAAAATATCAAATGTATTTTATCTTTTTGTAATTTAGCGTATACAAACAGAGGAAGCTAATTCAAATAAGAAACCACTTTTAAAAGGTAAGAATTTTTCACTTGCTACTCTGCAGACAGAATAAAAATAATCAAAAACTAATCTTAAAAATAATTAGATTAGTTAAATCCCTTAAAATAAATTACTCAAATCTACTGTAGATTAATATTTTCAAGATCTTTAAATGAAGAGTGCAAAGGAATAAAAAAATATTCAACAATTTGATAGTTAACAATAATTTACCATTAGACAAAATAAATAATCTTTATAATAGGATTCACATACATTAAAAAACTCAATTGAATAGATTCTAAGTAAAAATAAGAATTAATTTCATAAAAATAATAATGAACTTCAATCCAATAATCAATCACATTAATAAAAGAATTTTTAGGATGAATCTAATCATTATGATTCATAAAAATAGTTAAAGATAATTTTAGTTTATAAAGGCTAAAAGTAATATTGTATTTTTAATTTATTAGATATCACTATTATTATAATTACAAAGGTTAGACTACTGACAATTTATATAATTATTTGATTCAATAAATTGCTTGTATTGAAAAGTCATTCATGAAATAAGGAGGAGGAACAGGATCAACAGAAGAAATCTAAATCTAAGAAGGTTTAATTTAAAAATATTTATAGAAATCAATAAAATATGTTAATTTTATACTACTTAAAAAATAATTCCTTATGATTATTATTTAAGTTTACCTAATTTATCTTTAAATATATTTTAAGGTGTAACTCTTCAATTGCAACCATTAATTTCATAAACTATTTATGGTAAAAAGGTATCATTGAGAGATTTCACATTGGTAAAGTGTATAGGAGTTGGAGGTTTTTCAAGAGTATATTTAGTAAGAAAAAGAGATGATGGTAAATTTTATGCTTTAAAATTGATTGATAAGAATTTTATTATGGAAAACTAAAAAGAAGTTATAGTTTAAAATGAAAGGGATATTATGGTTAATATGAATAGTGAATTTATTACTCCTTTACATTTTGCATTTGAAACCAAATATTATATAGCATTTGTTTTAGATTATTGTGCAGGAGGTGAACTATTCTATCATCTAAGAAAATTGAAGAGATTAACTGAAGAAGATGCAAAATATTATTTTGTTGAAATATGTATAGGAATGGCATATTTACATTCAAAAAATATAGTTTATAGAGATATTAAACCAGAAAATATTCTTTTAGATTTAAAAGGACATTTATTATTGAGTGATTTTGGATTAAGCAAACCAAATATGTCAAATGAAGATTATGCTTACTCCTTTTGTGGTTCTCCAGAATATATGGCCCCTGAAATGCTATTAAAAAGTGGACATAATTATTTGGTTGATTGTTATTGCTTAGGTGCTCTACTCTATGAATTAGTAACAGGGTTACCTCCCTTCTATTCACATAATACTTAAGAAATCTACAATTCCATCTTATCTGAATAGGTATAATTCCCACCTTATGTTCAAATTACAGATTTATTAAAGGATTTAATTTGTTAGCTCTTGGAGAAGGATCCATAAGAAAGATTAGGATAATAATAAGGTATAGTAGAAATCTTGAGTCATCCTTGGTTTGCTGATATTAACATTGAAGCTATAGCAAATAGATAAATTTAACCACCTTATAAACCAGATCCTTTAAGATACAATTTTGATGAGGAAGAATTTAATAAAGGTGATACTGAATTTAGAAAATAATATGGAATTAATCTTTAAAAAGAATATGTGGTATAATTCTCAATCAAATTAGAATACCGATAATAATCCAAATTTAATTCTAAGAAACTTTTACTTTTCCAGAGAAGATTTGCCTTAAAATCTTTAACATAAACCTTATAGATCTAATCATGTCAATTTAGTTTAACTTAAAATAGAAAATGTTCCAAATTGTGATATAAATTCACCTGATAGACATAGAGTATTATTAAATTTTATTAATATTAATTAGTAAATATCTCCATCTGAGAATAGAAGAATGCCTAAATATTCAGGTAAATCAGTAGTTACAGATCTCTTAAAAAGGAATGAATTATCTAATAAATCTGCTTCATTAATTTAGTCATCTAAGATTACTCATGCATATTCTAAAACTATGTAATAATAGAATTAAAATGCTGAAATTAAAGTAAATCTAAAACTAAATTTTAGGCACTCAAACAAATATTAGAATCTTAAAAAGGTTAAATGAGTACTGAAAGAACTGCTACTATGCCTGATTAAAATATTAATAAAAATGATAACAATAGAATAAAAACTGAATAATTCGCTTAAATGTTGTATCCTAAAACTACAACTAATTATTAGTTTCATAAAAATCCTAATTTATAAAAATTATTTGGATCTGAAAAAAGATAAAAATGAATATCATTCTTTTATTTTACAAATAAAGATCATTTATTATAATGAAATTTTCTTTTAAAAAATATTTTATTATAAATTACTCTAATGATTTAAGTATTAGATTAGAATGATAAAGAAATCTATAAATACAGATTAACCTAAGGTGAGAATAAATTTGGTAGTGATTCAAAATTGTGTAAATTTCTTATTAGAAATGTATAAAGTGTACTCTTCTCAGTAGTAAATCAATAAATCTATGCCATAGGCTCTTATAAACAATGATGTATATTTCACCCATTTTAGTGACACATCCAATGTCTATAAAGACTCTACACTCAAACCTTATTCCAAAGTTGAGATACCAAAAAACTTTCTTATTGAAATTTTTCCAACTAAAAATTACTACTTTCAAACATATAAATTTAAACTTCTAGATTTAAGTGAATCTTAATAATAAAACAAATCATATTAATATGGAACAACATAAAATCTTGAAGAATTTACAGGAACTATGCCTTTAGAGGACATCTTTCAAATTCCACAATAACCTCCTAAATTATCTACAACACAATCATTTACAACAACATAAGTATTAAACACATAAGACCCTTGTTAATCTACATTAATTATTGAAGAAGGTGATTAATCTGAAATTTTTACACTTAATGAACTAATTGTTTAGTATTCAAATATGAGATTGATGAATTAATCAACATCTAATATAAAATAAGAAGTATCTACTTAAACAGATCAAATTGAGAAGGAACCTCCTCCTATATAGAAAAAAGGAACACTTTTTAGTGATCTATTTAAAATTAAAAAATAACAGTAAACTACAATAGATGTTATTCCAAAAGTTTAAGCTCCTTAATAATAAATAATTGATTAAACAGTTATTGATTCTTAATTATTAGGAGCCACAATAAATGATGATGAACAACAAAAGTTCTTTGAATAAAAAAATGAAATAAAAGGGACTATAATTGATGAAGAATTAGAAAAGGCTTTTTCATCTTAATTCAATAATAATAGTAATAATAATGAAGAATAAAAATCTTAAATTTCTTAATTCAAAAGAATGAATAGTGTTCAATCAGAATAAAATGTTTATACAACTCCTAAAATGGATATAAATTCTAATATAGAATTAAATGATATATTTGGTAGTATGCCAGAATTACCTAATTAAAATATTGTTTAGCCTTAAGTAATTAAGAAATTTTCATCATTAAAATCCAATTTATTTAGTATTAAATCAGATGAAATATAAGAGGAAAAGATTCAATCTCAATAGGATGATACACCTAAAAAGTTTAAATAATAAGAAAATAAAGGCACAGAAAATAAAAAGAAAAAAGATAAGAAAAAGAAAGAGATTGTGAAGAAGGTTGGAATGTTAAAAAAAATAACTGATGAAATTAGTAATAATTCAATATCAGAATTAGAAGAAGAGAAGATATAACCAAAATAATAATAATAATTACCTAGACATTCAAATTCAATGGAATTACCTTATACAAAAATATTAGAAGAAAAAGCATCTAATATTGTACCAAAGAATAGAAGAGGATTGAGAAAAAAAAGATTAGTTAATAATGATAGATAGTTTCGTACAATTGCTTTTAGTGGTTTCTAAGAAGATAAAATACCTTCAGAAAAAGATTTGATGAAATTAGATCTTGAATTAATAGAGAATTAATTTGAGAAATTTGATTTATTAATAATAAACACACCTTTTAAAAGGACATTCAAATTCTTGGCAGCCCTTATGCATGGAGCAGAAATAGTTACTGCTGATTGGTTAAAGGATTCTCTTATGTAATATGAATAATAGAATCATTAAAATTATGTTCCTGAGAGTGAAGAATTTCAAAAATAATTTGGATTAAGCATAAAATAAATAATTTAATGTAGAGATGATTACTTTGAAAGTAATGATAATATTATTCAAATTTTTGAAGGGAAATATTATGTTAATGAAGATGTAATACCTTCAAGAGCAGAAATAGAATATTTGATCAAATTAGGTGGAGGACATGTTGTTAAAAAAGCAACAAAAAATGTTTATATAATAAGTGAGAGTAAGAAGCCTAACACTTATGCTTCAGATTTCATTTTAGATGCATGTATGTTTTAATAGTGAAGATTTTGTTTATTATTTATTTTTATAAAAATTAACTAAAGATAATTTATGAATTAATCAGTTTAACATGAGAGGGTTATTAAATAAAAACCTAGTTTAAAAATATAAACAAAGGATATTAAGACAAGTAATCAATTAATAGAAGAAATTAATAATTTGAAATTAATATATCAGGATAAAATCATAGGAATTCCACCAGAGAGTGGATATGTAAAAGCCATTTAAATTACTATTTATCCAGAAGAAATTTTGGATGAAAATGAAGCTTAAGCTATGGCAGTGTTGGGATTACATTTTCCATAATCATATCCTGATCATGTTCCAAAGATTGACTTTATATAATTAGAGGGTTTTAATGATATTTAAAAGGAAGAATTATTTTCAGATTTATTTGAAACAGGATTGAATTAAGCAGGACAATAAATAATATTTTCAATAGTTGTTTAGGTTATATTGATGGATTAATTTTGTAGTGCCAAAAATAGGTGACTTCAAAACACTAATACAATTATAATGAAAAGATTAATACAAGAAATTTGTATGACATCTTTATGTAAGAAGAGAAGAAGAGAGAAAAATAAAAGAAATTACTTACTAAGTCAAGTTAAATTATGGAAGAGAAAGAGAATACAAAATATACATCAATATAAGAAGAATTTTAATTAAGATAAGAATGGTTGGATTAATAAATTAATGCACCAGAACCTGAACCATCAGAACCATATTTATAAAAGAGTCCAAAAGTTTATGCTTGGTAATAATTATCAGGAATGGAATTATTATTGATTCATTTAATTAAGGTTAATTACTTAATAATATTTTAGATAATTTAAAAGAGTTTTCATTACTAAAATTATAAATAATTAGTAAGTTTATTACATTTATTTTAAATTACCACAAACAAAGAATTATTAAAATTATTATCCCCAAAGTATGAAGTTATATTTAATAATTTATATCTTAATAAATTTGATTGCATAGCTAAAAATGTATCAACTGATTTATATTAGGAATAAGAAAAAATAGACTTTAAAATGGCTGAAATCTTTTAGATGCATAAAACTTAAGATAAAAATCTAACTGATAGAACTAATTTAATTAATATATTATTTACTCCATATAGTAAATCATCTTCTAAAATATCTAATTTCAGCAACAATGCCAAAGTATTAGAAGAATAATAATAATAATTATCTCTATCTCCAAATTAGAAATTGACTTTAATTAAAGAACCTTCATTTAATAGAATGGAAGCTGATTTTGATATTGTGACAACATTAGGAAAGGGATCTTTGTAAAAATATCTAATTAAATTAAAGTGGAGAAGTATTTAAAGTCAAAAATAAGATTGATGGTAGATTCTATGCAGTTAAAAAGATTAAAATTCCATATGGATAGGGTTTGGCAAGAATAATGAGAGAAGTAGATTTATTAAGTCATTTACATCATAGATATGTTATAAGATATTATTAAGCATGGATAGATGAATGTGAAAAGACATAAGATGACTTTGAAATCAATGAAGAGTAAAATTTATTGATATATTTAGTGATTCTGAAATATAATTAGTTAGTGGATTTACTTAATAATCAGATAGTTAATTTAATTTTAATGCTTCTAGTTTAGGTAGTGGTATATGTTAAAATAATAATAATCCAATAAAGAATGAAAAAAAGATTCTTGTTTTATATATTCAAACTGAATATTGTACAAGAACTTTAAGAAAGTAAATTGAAGAAGTATATCCAAAATCTGAATAATCATTTATTTGGAATTAATTTAGATAAATTCTTGAAGGAATGGTGTATACTCATTAATAAAAGATTGTTCATAGAGATTTAAAACCAGAAAATATATTTATTGATACAACAGAAGATATAAAAATTGGAGACTTTGGATTAGCTAAACATACATCTAAAAATTCTCATTCTATTGTTTATAGTAATTCAGTTGAAAATACTAATGAAATTCCAGAAATATTAAGTTTTATAACTTAACAACCTTTGTTAAAAAAGGAAGATTTAGAATTGCTAGATAAAACACTTAATGTAGGAACTTATTTTTATTGTCCACCTAATAATGAATAAGAATTTGATGAAAAAAGAGATGTGTTTGCATTAGGTGTGATTTTATTAGAAATGTGGCATCCATTTTAAAATCATAAAGAAAGAGTTAAAACATTATCTTAATTAAAATTAAATGGCAAATTACCAAAATCTTTTTAAGTTTCTCATCCTAGATAATCTGCATTAATAAAGTGGATGATTAATCCAGATCCAAAGAAAAGACCAACAATATAAGAAATTCTTCATAGTGAATTAATTCCACCTAAAATGGAAGATGAATTATTAAAGGAAGCTATAAAAATCTTAGGAACTTAAGATAATGAAAGTATATACTATTAGAAATTAATTGAGACATTATTCAATAATAAGAGATTAAATTATTTGGATAGAGATAGACTTTATTTATAACATAGTATTAACTAGAAATTTTATGTAAAATAATACTATATGCCTAAAATACTTTAATTTATGTATTAATAATGTATTGTATAAATTTAAACACCTTATATTATTAATAAACCTAAAGATATTGATAAGAATGGTACATTTCTATATAGTTAACATTAATAACCTATTTAAATGATGAATTAAAATGGTGAAATTGTGTTTTTTAGACATTAATTAAGAAATTCTTTTGTAAAATAACTTTAATTATTGAATAATAAATTATAATAGGGTAAATCAATTCAATGTTTTGAAATTGGAGAAACGATGATATCTGAATTAGATTAAATTAAAGTTTAAAATCAATTAAATTATGATTAAATTTAATTTAATGATGATGATGGATTGGTATCTACTATTATTTTATCAATATAATTGATGGATTAATTAAATTTAGAAATACCAAAACTTAAATTAACTAATTAAGAATTTATAATGGATTTGTTATTTGCATTTAATGTTTATGATTTTGAAAATTAAAAACAAATATGTTAATATATGTCAAAAGTAGCTTCTTATAATTAATTTAATGCAAGTAAATTGAGATACTTTATATTAAATGATTCAGAAAATTCTGTTGCTAAATTGATTTTAGAGAAATATATAGATAAATTAGATAAATTTATACTATTATTTTAATATAAATGTAAAATCTAAGATATAAATCTCGTTGAAGTTTTATAATTATAACATAATGAAGATTTAAAATGGAAATAAAATAAAATAATTGAATTTGGAAAAAAGATAAACTAATAATTACATTGTTATCGTAAGATTAGAGAATAAATGAATCCTTAAAATTATAATTATGAAATACCCATATTATTTGATTGTTCAATCAATAATAAAAAATATGGTTTCAGTCATGGATTTTAATATGAATTAAGTTGTTTAAAATTGAAATCAAAAGGAGAATTTGTTTAGCTTCCAATTTTATATGGAGGATCATATGAAAAGAGTTGTAAAAAATTATAAACATTGTGTTCAATCATAATGGATGTACCTTCATAAAAAATAGAAATAAATTTAAATCATTTTGGAGGAGGCTCTGCATAATTATCTAGATCTAATTCTATTATAAGGTACATTTAATAAATAATTTATTTAATAGTCAAAAAGAATTGCCACTATCTAAAGTTTAGAGTAATATATTGAAAGAAGGAGCAAGATTATCTTAGGTTTGTAATAAAAAAGTAGAAATTAATGGATTTACACTTGAATTAGATGTTTTAGAAGAAATCTTTTCAGTTTATCAAGAATAAGCAAATTCATTATTATTTAAGTATTCTGTTTTGATTTGCTCAGTAATAATAATAAAATATAATAGGTTGGTGGTAATCTTTAAGAAGCTAAAAAAATGTATTTACAAGCTTGCCATTATTTGGATATATCAGCCATGATTTACAATGATGATGAGACTTGTTAATTAGAAGAATGTGTATTATATTAGATTGAATTTAGATTACATTTGCTGATCGTTAAGATATTAAATTTATTGTATTTATCAGAGATAAGTTATATCAATAAAAATAGAAAGTTATTGTTAGATACAAGAAAGATAAGAATAATAAAGTAGACAAGGAAGTTTCATTTGATGAATTTATTTAATTCATGGTAAAACATAAATGAAAAATATAAATAAATCATAAACTAAATTATGGAATAAACATTCCAAATACTTATATATTTATTATAGTATTATATTAATAAATATAATTATATTTATCATTTTCTTAATAAAATTTCTACTTAGATTTTAATTTTTTTAAGAATTTTATTTAAATATAGTTATATATTCTTATTGATTTTTGTTTAATTAAACCATTTGTTCAATACTTTAATAGTCTTTATTTTCAAAAGTTTATGAATTGAATCAATAATAGTATTGTTTTTTTCTTAATATTCAATTTAATTTATATATATATTATTTAAAATGTATTAATAAACCTCTCGTAAAATATGTGTAATTTGTCAAAATACTAGAGATAATACTTATGAAAATCCTGAATGCAAACATAATTATTGTATGAGTTGTTTTCAAAACAAGAAAATAATAAAGGTTTGCACAGAAAAAGACTGTAATTCTTAAATCAATTAGAATGCTATAATATAATATTTTGAAAAAGGTATGACAGCTATCCTATGAAAAGTTTAGAAGAAACAAAATTAAGAGTAGGCAGCATAATCATTTAATAATAATTCATCTATTAGTACGTAATCCTAATCTAGCATTAAATCATCTATGATTAATAAATCTAAATAATATGCCTCTCCAAATGAATCCATATAATAATAATAATATTCTAGGAATAATAAGGTTGATTTATATACTACACTTAATTATTGTGCTATTTGTCTCTTTTATATGAGAGATGATTTATTAAAACAATAAATTCAAGTCAAAAAAAATTATCCAATTTTAGATTGCTAATTGCATACAATTTGTGTTGGTTGTTTTAGTAATTATTTTAATCATCAGAAAAATAGACAA